TCAATATGGACTTTAAGCTTACGTTGTTCCTCTATCTTTCATAATTAGGGACCGCAGACCAATTTTTCAAAAAAATTTTTTCAGCATTGAGCTTTGTATGGTTTGATAGCTGTTTCGATTCAAAACTCAGAACCGTTTAGTTTTTCGAAAAAGATTAAGGATGAAAAAAGTTATGACGAAAAATGTGGCGCGCCGCGCACCATTTTTTTAGTACTGAAATTTTGGTATTATCCATTTTTGACATTTTTCTCGATTTTTCTTCCAGAACAAGTTTTGATACTGGTCTATTATGATGTGACAAATCATAATAGAGTGCTAAAAATGATAAAAAAATTTGCTAGTTTGCCGAAAAAAAGTCGGTATTTTTCCAGAAAACAAAAAAACTGGCGCTTGCGGGCATCGAACTCGCGACCTCAAAAAGAAGATTCGCAGCGCACGCGCTGCGCCAAGTTGTTAGGTCTAGCGAGGGGAGCTTCCATCCCACATATCCTTGAGCCGTTTGAATTGCACAGATTGCCTATTTCAAAAAGAAAAACTTGAAGTAATTAAGCTATTTTTATCAGAATATGATCGCAAATCTTTACTCAAACTTTCCGTAAAAATTCACTTCGAAAAAAACTGTTTTTTTAGTGCTTTTTGCCTCGTTTAACGATCGCTGCCTTAAAACGGCCCCGTAATTTTTGGCAAAGACGAATTTTTTATTTTATTCTTTTAATTGAAAGATTTTTTTACTAATAAATGTATATAATCGTTTGAAAAAAACCTGCGTTCGACCGCTTTCTGTGTGATAAACGCCGCTAATTTCATTCTCTATTTTTCAAGAACATTTTTTGCGTATTAAACAACTATTTCAAGCACATATGCTGTGGAGAAAAAAATTTAAGTAAGCCCAGGGTCTAAATTTTTGAAAAACAAAAAAACTCGATTATATTCTCTTATTAACGATATTTTTGAGTTATGACTTTCGGTACTCCCTAAAATTTTTTTGGCAAAGACGAATTTTTATTTTATTGTTTTAAAATTACCGTTACTTGAATCAAAATCATTATTTAAAAAGAAAAGAATGCGTTCGACCTGAAAACACATGAAAAAGCAAAAAAACGACAAAATTTTTTTAGTTCTATTCACCTTTTTGTACGACATTCCGCGAGAACGCATCAAAAAGCGTGAAATATTTTTTTAAACGAAAGAGGAAGCTTTTTCTGTACATGTGTGTCAAATTTTTATTAGCCAGTTCCACATATTTTTGCAACTACAACAAAATGAAAGTTGAAAACCAAAAAGCTACTTTTTTTCTATCGCGAAAAGGGGCGTGGCTTTGCGGTCCCTATTCATAATTGGAAACTCGAAAAAACGGAAAATGTTCTTATTGATGATAAAAATTCCCTCATGGTTTTAAAAAAAGCCGCCATGTTTTTTTTAAACTCCGATGATCGTGGAAAGATACGACCCCTCAAAAATAAACAAGTTCCTGAATTTGTATCTGTTCGTTTAAATGAAGCAAACATAAAAATTTGATCTTCGGTTATACTCTAAACCGCGCTGTTTCATGGAAAAAAAACTGAAAAAAGAATTTTCACCTGCCTGAAAATCCCCAAACTTGAAATTTCTCACTGTTGTTCACTTTTTTTTGCGATGAGCGAAACGCTCGAAGATTTTTTGATGTATTTTGGATTGGCCCAACTTTTCGCTATTCCTACACTCCATATAATGTTCATTAGTATCCTAATAAAATGCTACAAAGAGGATAAACAGGTAAAACTGAGAAAAAATTTCGGAATTCAGTGAAGATAATTTTTCCAGCACGATTACTACATCGCCGTGCCATGTATGGAGTTGATAACCCTGCTAAGTTTATCGGGAATCATTATCTTAATTGTCAGTTTCTTTTCGTATTCTCCTAACGTCGCTTCAATCCTTGCTTCTTTGCTTTTCTATTCCATGTGCTGTCCTCATATTTTGATATTTATCGACGCTATTCTATGTCTACATCGACTCTTCAGCTTTTTTGAGTTGTTTCCAGGGTTCTGCCATAACTTCATATGGTATCGATTGATCAAGTTATTCTAGATTATTTTCCTCCGTTCTTGTTCAAAGTTTTCACGTGGAATTCAAATTACTGTCAGATTGAAGAAGACAACTGAACTTTAAAGAGTCAGAAAAATTTTTCCTTTATACGACATTACTTGAACGCGGGAATAGATAAACTATGGTTTTTCAATGGCACGCTCAACTGAACTTTTTGCAGGCCTCTGGGAGTTTCTATATTGATATCGACTCCGTTTTCCTACGTTATAATGAAGAAAATGATGTTAATAGAAGGAAAAAACACTCTGATGTTCGACATTGCGAGTTATGTGGGTTTTACTTTCGAAACCGGCAATTCAAAAATTAAAAAAAAAGAGCGCATTTTTTTCATCATTAGCAATTTTCAGATCGCCATAACCGTCAAAATGATTCTCGTTGTGTTGACTTTTTTTGGTTACCTACTCCTTCTGTATGGCGTCAATCGCGAAAAAGCCATGATTTCTTCGGCTTCACGAAGTCATAAGACTATTGTTATACAAGCATTACCAATATCCATCTATTCGTGTGTAAGTTATGTTCTATTCTTCATGGCTGAAAGGTAACTTTTTTAGGAGTAAATGATGTGAAGAAACATGGAGAAACTTTGAAAAAGGTCCAATAAATAACTTTTTAAATGAAAAAAGATCTCAAAAAAAGCTGTGTTGAATAAGAAAAATTTAAAAAGAAAAAAAAGAAAAATTTTTGGAAGTTGATAATAAAAAAACAAAGTCATATCATAAGATTAAATAGCTTAATATAAGTCTTATTTTTTTAAATTTGATGAAAAATCAAGATTTTCCATTTTTTTAAAGTTAAAATTGAAATCTTTTTTTCAGCTCTCTACATTCAATGGTTTTCTATTGAAAGCTGAGAACCAAGATGTCCTCAGTGGGCAAGTAATATATTTTCTCGGCGTTTTGATGTCAGGTTTGCAGCCTGATTCGTTAATTTTTTTTTCAAAATGGGTTTTCAGCTTACGTTGTACCTCTCTCCATCATCATTGGAAATCCGAAGAAAAGAAAAATGTTCCTACGGATGCTGAAATGTTCTTCCTAATCGTGAAAGAGTCTTAAAACATTATTGAGAGAAATTAAAACCGGAAGATCTTTGCGTTTTCTTGATGTTTGTCTGAAGCTTAAAGTCAAGTGAAATGTTGAGGAGAATACAAAATTCCACCTGCTCAAACCAAAACTTCCCTTTTTTCACTATTTTCCGTGATGGATGAAACGTTAGTATATGCAATGCTCCTTTTTGGATTTGCCCAATTTTTCACCATTCCTGCACTTCATATAATTTTTCTAATCATTCTAGTGAGGTGCTACAAGGAAGACAAAAAGGTGAATTTCGAAAAGATTCATTAGTTTTTAGCAGAGGTGGAAGAAATGAGGGGCCCTCCAGGGCGCAACATGCCCGCCCTAGCCATGCGGCCTCTGAAATGAAATGAGCCACGTCATTATGCGGCGATGGCGTGCATCGCCACGTCGCGATAGTTGGGCGAAAGTTGGCATTTTTTTGATTATTATGCAATTGCTTCGCGTTTCGCAGTTTTTTTGCAACATTTCATTTTTTTCAATTTTTTTGTGTTTATGATATTTACTTAAATTTTTATATATAATATGTTGTTATAGTTTTCTTCCTTAAGGCGGAGAACTACAGATCTGTGGGTAGAGAGCCCCGGAAAGAACAGATGACGGACGCTACAAAAAAAGCGAACTTCCAAGTAACTTCAAATTCTAAAGATTCAAAAATTAACGGTTTCAGAAGAGCTTGAATATGATGTTTCATATTCAAAAAAATAGATGTAATCGAGATGATTGCAGCAGGTGACGTAGAAACCCGAGTTAGTTGAGAAAAAAATGTCATATTCAAGTAGTTTTTATTTCAGGCGAATGGGAATTTTCCCAGTTTCCATCATATTTATGATCACGACGGCTTGGACACGAGGCATGTTCAGTGCATAGCGTGTGGAAAAGTTCTTGCTAACAAAACCCGGGGAGGACAATTCAAGTATATAAAATATTTGAGATAAAAAAAAGTGAAGTTGTAGGCGTCACGTGAGGAGCACCTGTCGACGAAGGGAAATTTTACAAAGTCCGGCTCCAATGATAGCTACTGGCGAGAAAACTCCTGAGAACATAGAAATTATCACGTTAGGTAGCGAATTGGCTTCTCTGTATCCTCAATACTTGATGGATTCTTTGCCTTAAGAAGTAATTATTTGTAATTCTATGATTGTTGAAATACTTGTTAAATGGGTTAATTTCCACACCTACGGTTTCCTATTACTCGTTTTACCGGTTGAATTCCATTGTTTTTGTTTTTCCCACTTTCTCGTTTCATTCATGCCTAATAAATGTGATTTGAACTTTCCGTTGCTCCTTAGTATTCATGAACTTAATTTTTTTTTACGCGTTTTTTTCTCCATTGGCGTTTTTTTGCCATCGCGGTTTTAGCCCCGGGCGCCCTGGGCAGCGACTTATTAAGAAATGGCCATGGCGGCCTACGTCGGTTTTGAAATGTAAACGTTTCAAAACGTTTAGGGGCGCCATTTCTCCACCTCTGGTTTTTAGAGTCTTTTTCTCAGTACGATTACTATATCGCGGTTCCCTGCATGGAGTTTATAACACTAATCGGTGTTTCTGGCGTTATTGTGCTATTTTTCTCCGTCTCTTTGTTTTCGCCCAAAACCGCATCCATTCTTGCTTCTTTTTTCTTGTATTCAATGTGTTGTCCCCATGTCATAGTATTCATTGATGCTGTCTTATGTCTACATCGACTTTTCAGCTTTTACGATAAGTTTCCCGGATTCTGTCGTAACTTCAAGTGGTAAAAAATGAATTAACTTATTTTATCTTCATTTCAAAGATTTTCATAGGCCTTAAGCCGCTTCCATTTTGATATCGATGCCGTTTTCCTATGTTATAGTGAAGAAAATGATGTTAATTGAAGGTAAACGCAGCCTGATGCTCGACATTTCGGGTTATGTAGGTTTTTTTAGACTTGCATGAAATAAAAATTTTGATTCCCTTTGAAACGCTTTTCAGATCGCGATAACCGTCAAAACGATACTGGTTGTGTTGACTTTGTCCGGTTATTTGCTTCTTTTGTATGGAGTTAATCGGAAAAAAGCCATGATTACTTCGGCGTCACGACTTCAAAGTCACAGAACAATTGTTCTACAGGCTTTGCCGATATCTGCATATTCTTTTGTGAGTTAGAAGTTTTTTTCATAAAAAAATAAAAAGCTTAAAAAAAGAAAGTTATAGGTAGATAGATTGAAAAGGCTGAAAAAAAACAGAACAAACAATCAAATCGTAACATTATAAAATTACATAGAGAAGAAAAGCGCTTTGTTCATAACAAAAAAAAAATCTAAAAAGCTCTGAACCCAAAAATTAACGTTATTTGGAAGTTTTCCAGAACTTGGAGACCTCTTTAAACCTTCTATTTTTTTAGATTTCTTCCTTCGATGGAGCTCTATTGAAAGCTGAGAATCAGGATAGTATAAGTGGGCAAGTTATGTTTGTTTTCGGCCTTCTGATATCAGGTTTTGCAATTATTTTAAGTTTTCAATAACTTTTAAATTTCAGCCTATGTTGTACCTTTTATCTTTTTATAATTGAAAAATCCACAGAAGAGAACTATGTTCTTATCGATGTTATCAACAATCTTCCGAATGAAAAAAATCTAACTCCACTAGTGATGTGTTTGTTCATTCTGATAGTTCTGGGAATAAATGATGTAATGGATAAATAAACATTCTTCTTCTCCTTTTTCTTTACAAAAAGTGAATTCATCTTCGAAAAAAAACGAACTGACTGGATGTACAGAAGATCGGCCGAAGAATCGCTTTTTTAAACGTCGGTCGTACTTCGCGGCCTCTTTTTTATCTTTTCCTCGCAAAGCTTCTTCTCCTCCAGAAGTCTTGAGAATCATTCTGAAAGAAAGTTGGATACAATCTGAAATTAAAAAGATAAATACAAAAAATAAAAAATAAAAATTTTAACGGTATTTCTCAAAAAAATCATGAAAGTCAACAAAACAGAATATAAAAAAAGCTAGATTAAAGAATTAAAACTTGCATATATTCATATTATTAAACAAAAAAATTTACAGACAAAAAGAAAAGATATAGTTATAAAAAAAGAAACTTTGGCCTAAAAATTAGAAGGCAGACTTGAAAAATTACGACTTTTTCAACAAGTTTCATTGAACACTAATAATTCATAACTTATCTAAAAACGTATATTGAATGAAGCGGTTTATCGAGCTTAGCTACTCTGTGAAAAGAAATCAGAAAAACAATAAAAAATAATTTTTCCTAAAAGTTAAAAGGAAATTGTCGTTAATTTTGTTGCTTTGGTGCATGCACTCGACGAGCAGCCTCATGCTATGAAAGCAATTTTTTTCCAAACTTATCATCAGGAATCAAATAAAGTTAACTCTTTTGTGCTTTTTATTTAATCTCGAAAAAAAGAAACTACCGTTTTTCTGTAAATCTAAAATAAAACTCATTAATTAGTTCGGTCGGTCTCACCTGTTTTTTTGAAAGTATTATATACCTATACAATCAGGTAGTTTCGATTTTTTTCGAGACGGCAATTTCAAATGGCAAAAGAAAGTTTTTTTAGAGTCGACAGTTTTTCTGTGGGATAGTTAAAGGTATGAAAAAGAATGACTATAAGAACGTCAACAAGCTGATCTGATTGAAAATAAAAACGTTTATTCAAAGAAAAGTCAGTTGGAGTAGCTCGGTTCACGAGAGAGCCAGTCTTTGTAACCGTCTCTTCTTGCGTAGGACGTATATCCTCCATTAGCTCCTGGAAAAAGTTCTCAATTTGGTTCAGGAACAGGGAAAACTGACTACGCGGCTCACAGGTTTTCGCCGGCGAATTTTGAAGAAAGACTTATTTTACCCCTTCCACGTATTCGTTTCCTTGTAGTAATATGTTTTTTTCAACGAAAAAACTCGGATTCTAGATTTTTCCCATCACCTTTGCGCTTGTCAATAAATTTCTCTAGTTTTTTTTAATATTTTGTCTTTCGAAATATTAAAAAAAACTGTTAATTATTTTTTTGTTACTTTTCGAACTATTTACTTCCCTTCAACTCTCAAAAAAGCTTCAGAAGCGAAGTTCCGTCAAAAACCACATAGGTATTATATCAATGAAAAAGTTTTCCCAATGCGTCTCCTGGTTTCTCAAAAAGCAACTGAACAGTCGACACGCCAATGAGCGTCGCAGCAGTCATGTCCGAGTGGTTAAGGAGATTGACTCGAAATCAATTGGGCTCTGCCCGCGTAGGTTCGAATCCTGCTGACTGCGAATCATTTTTTGCCGTTTTGCTAATCAACTCGAGATACGTCTCGAATTTTAATCCATCTTTCATGAAAAATAACAGTGATGAATATAATTTTTAAAAAAATCTTCAATTTTTGAACACTTGGTGATTCAACGCCTGGTGACATTTATTTCGAAGGAAAAAGTTTTTCGTTTTCACCTGTCTGAATTGTGGGAAAACTGAAACTTTCTTCACTTTCTTTTCGCGAAAATGACTGAAACTCTCGCTACCGTAATGGGCTTTTTTGGAATGGCTCAAGTGATCCTTATACCTGCGCTTCATATTATTTTTATCGTTATACTCGTTAAATGCTACCCAGAAGATAAAAAGGTGAACCAAGCTTACAAGCCGAGGTCATTTTTGTGTGAAGTTTGGAGTTTTCTAAAAATTTGCTGGAATTTTTAGATAAGTCTGGATGAAGATTTCTTTCCTCAACAAGTGCAATCTTTTCATTTTAGTTTTTCAAAATTGAAAATACTGGCTTCAGATTAGATTTTGGCGTTAAAACAGCTTAGGAATGCCAGAGTGGTCCCTGGAGGGGTTAAGAAGAGAAAAGCTTATATAGAAGACAAATAGTGGTCCAGGGGTAAAATTTAGGTGGACCCTATAGGGGTTTTATTGTCTGATACTTAAGCCCTTAAAGCTTGAGTGGCTCCTATAGGGTCTGAAGTTTGTAATAGTGTTTCATATGGACTACTCTGGAGTTCCCCAGTAAGCATATCTTCAAAAAAAAAAACTAAGCGTGTACTAAAAATCTTCATTTGAACCGTGAAAGAGTGTTCGGGCAAGTATTTTGATAATTCCCAACCAAAAAGGAAAATGAGTTTTATTTTTATTTTTCTACTGGAGATATAACTTTTGAATTGATTTTCCAGCATGATTACTATATCGCAGTGATATGGATGGAGTTGATCACTCTAATTGGTGTTATCGGTATGGCTAGTGTGTTCTGTTTTATTCTCGCTTCCCGTTCCGAGGGAATCGCAATGTTCACCTTCCATTTCTTCATGATTTGTGCGTGTTGTCCCCATATTCTGATGTTCATCGATGGCATTCTATGCCTCCATCGACTTTTCAGCTTCTTCGAAGTTTTTCCAGGGTTCTGCAGGAACTTCAAATGGTCTCGATTCTTTCTTTTTTTAAATTTACTTGTCCAAAAGACTTGGCCAAGTAAATATTTGGTTGGATTCCAAAGTCATTAGGAATTGTGAACCTAGGAACGCCATAGTGGTTCCTAGAGGGGTTCAATAATAATAATAGTTTATTCACTGCCATAAAAAAAAACATTAGGTAGTATAGAAAAAAATTATAAGTGATCAACATATGACGGGCAGGAGAATAACAATACGCGGGAAGGAGTCAACCCCAACGAGTTGACAGGTACCCGGAAGTAAGAAGAAATTTTTTACAAGGTTAAGAAGAAAAAGCCCTTATAGGGGACACAGCAATGCTCTCTACAGAGCTGAAATGTAGGTGCTCCCTATAGGGGTGTGTTGTTATGGTTAGTAAAAAAAAAAAGACGTATAGGGCTTCCTTTGCCACTTTGCGTGAGCTCTTGTGGCCCTAAGGAGAGAGAAGGTGGCTCCTAGAGGGAAACTTCGGGGCTTTAAGGTTACATCTTTAGGGACCCCTCAGGCGTTCCTAAGACAAAAACTATTGATTGCTTCATTACTTCCTCTTGAAATCACCTCGCTTCAGGCCGTTAACCATAACTATTGTGATATCAATTCCCCTGTCCTGGATTATAGTTTTGAGAATGCTGCTCGAACATGGAGACGCAAAGTTGATATTAGCGCTTGAAGTTGCGAACTATGTAGGTTTATTAATTGATCACAGTGATTGACTATTTTCTCATTTTCTCTACAATTTCAGGTTGGTGTTACTGTCAAAATGGTCCTTGTAGTTTTCACTCTGTCCGGATACTTACTACTTTTGTATAGTGTCAACCGGAAAAAAGCCATGATTACTTCGGCTTCCCGACTTCAAAGTCATAGGACTATAGTTCTTCAAGCTTTGCCGATATCTATCTATTCTTGTGTGAGTTAACAAACCTCCGAGATTTGAATTAAAAAAATAGCTTTCTGCTAAATTTCAAAAGTCGTCAGACAACAGTTGAAAAATTGCTTCCCGTATAGTTCATTGGCAGCGACTTGTAGCCTTCTGCCTGTCTGCGTCTCTCTGTTCCCTCACCGGGGACGTTAGAGAAAAGTGAAAATAGCACGGCAAAACGAGAGGTTCGCCGAGAGACAAGGAGCGCAGAGAAATCTCTGCCGCTTCCAGTTGCGGCAAATTATATCTTTAAACAGTTTATTGAATAATAAATCATCTATTTCAGATTTTTTCCTTCGATGGGGCTTTAATGAAACCCGAATATGATGCTATCGGCGGGAAAATGATGTATTTCATGGGTATGGTGATATCCGGTAAGACTTTTTTCAAGTTTTTAAGTCAAAACGAAAGTTTCCAGCATATGTTGTTCCTTTATCGTTCATCATCGGGAATCCCAAAAAACGAAAAATATTTCTATCGATTCTATCAAAACTCTCTGGGAGTAAGAAATCAACTTCGACAACAAACGATATTGTTTCTATCAGAAGTTCTGGCAAGAAATTTTGACATTTATCAAGAAATTTGATTTTCGCTAGCAAACGATTAATCATAAAACGGACCAATTTCTCTGCGTCATAGCAGCTCTCAATCAACTGTAGTCGAAACTCCTGGCTGTTTGAAAGATGACATTAAAAAAAATATCACTTGCCCAAACCTCGGAACTCTCGAAACTTGACTCTCATTCCTTTTCTCACTTCATCGAGATGGATATAATTATCTCGTTCTCTTTACTGTTCGTTGGAGTCGCTCAAGCTGTCACCATTCCGAC